AGTACTATATAATTTGTAAGTGATTACTATGGACAGCTAGGCAGTAAAATACATAGAAGACTGGGCCTGGAGTGAAGAAGAACTGAGGTAAAAATCAAGCCTCAGACTTACTGCAAGCAACAATCTTGGTCTACCTCAGTTTACTCAACTATAAAATGAGGTTGAAAATAGTACCTCCCTTACAGGGTTATTGTAAGGATAAAATGAGATAATATCTGAATATCTTAATGCAGTGCTTGGCAGCTGTACTAACAGAATGGATATCAGCCAGAATTGAAAAGGATCTTGACAAATTATTGGGATGAATCTAGTAAGTTGAAACTCAATTGGGATAAATCAGTCAGTCAAAAAACATTTGATAAGTGCCAACTATGTGTCAAGCACTGTGTGAAGAACTGGGGATACAAAGAAAGAGAAAAGATAGTTCCTGGTCTCAAGAAGCTCCCAGTCTAATGTAAATGACTATGTACAAATTAGCTATATACAGGATAAATTTGAAATAATCAACAGAGAGAGGCAGGAAAGGCTTCCTGTAGAAGGTAGAATTTTAGCTGAGATTTGAAGGAAGCCAGGGAAACCAGATGGCAATGATGAGGAGAGAGAACATTACAAGTATTTGAACATAAAGGGTGAAAGAGAGTAAGGAGGTTCAGGATGACAGCTAGGTTATGAGTCTGGGAGAACTGAGAGAGTAGGATGGTGGTAACATGGAATATGGAAATTTGGAGAGGGAAGAGATAATGAGTTCGGTTTTGGATATGTTGAGTTTAAGAAATCTGTAGGACATCCAGTTTGAGATGTCTGAAAGGCAGTTGGGCTAGACAGTTTGAGATGTCTGAAAGGTTAGGGCTGCACAAATAAATCTGAGAATATCTGCATAAAGAAACCATAGGAGCTGATGAGATCACTAAGTGAAATAGTAGAGGGAGAAGAAAAGATGGCCACAGTTAGTGGGCATGACCTGGATGAAGATCTAGCAAAGGAGAGGGAAGAGGAGGGATCAGAGAGGTAAGAGAAGAACCAGGATACAATGAGATCACAGAAATCTGGAAAAAAGAGAATTTCAAGGAGAAGATGGTCAACAGTGTCAAAGTCTGAAGAGAGATCAAGAGGGATGATGATTGCCCAGGGAATGCCCTTCCCCCCCTTTCCCATTAGATTTGGCATTTAAGAGATCGTTAGAGTTAAAAGAGAATAAGAGGAGAGGTATTGGAGGCACCTATTACAGAAGGGCCTTCTCAAGGAGTTTAGCCAGAAAAGGAAGAAAAGAAACAGGATGACAGCTAGTAGGTAAGGACAGATCAAGGAAGGTTTTTTGAGGAAAAGGGAGACATGGACACGTTTGTAGACAGCAGGGAATCAGCCAGTAGAGATGGAAAAAAAATGAAACAGTAGAGATGAAGAATAGACTCTGGAATAAGAAGGGAAAGACAGAAAGGTGTGATCAGATAACAGGTTAATAGACTGTGATCAGATAAGGGAATTTCAGAGTTTATTAACATGGAAGTAGTGTATTTTATGGGTGATAGACAAGATCACAGGAATGACCATCTTTGTGTGTGGTTGAGGTGGAAAAGTAGGTTGTCTTGCACCCGGCTACAAAAAAAAAATTAACTTTTTTCACAAGTATAAGATGTGAAAAGCATGCACAGAAGTTGTTCTGAAAAAGATCTAGAAGTTTCAGTGAACCACAAGCTCAACATGAATAATGGGATACAGCAGCCGAAAAAACTAATGCAATCTTGGGTTACATTGACAGACCTGACTTTCAAAAACAGGGAGGTGATAGTACTATTGTACTCTGCCCTTGTTAGACCTCATGTGGAGTACTATATTCAGTTTTGGGCAACAAATTTAAGAAAATCATTGATAATCTGGAAAAGTGTTCAGAAGAGAACTAGGATGATGAAAGGTCTTGAGTTCATGACAATATCAAGACTGATTGAAGGAACTGAGTATACTTAGTCTGGAGGAAAGAAGGCTCAGAGAAAATACTATAGTTATCTTCAAATATCTAAAGGGCTGTCACGTGGAGGAGGAATTGCTTAAGTTCTTTTTGGCACCAGAGGGCAGAATCAGGAGCAATGGGTGGACATTTCAAAGAAGCAAATGTAGGCTTGATATTGGTGAAAATCTCCAAGCAATTCAAGCTATACAAAAATAGAATGGGCTGCCTTGAGATTCATAGATTTTCTCTCCCTGAAGGTCTTCAAGAAGTATGATGTATGACCTCTTAACTTCTATGTGATTCCCTGGGCAAATATCTAAAACATAAGTGAGAACTCTTCAAGACTCAAAGCAGATTACTACCTACTTTTGGTGATTCGTAATTCATGAAGGCAAAAATGATACTTCTAAAAGGGGTCTAAAAGATGACAAAGCCTTACGAAATAAATTGAAAAATATAGGAACAGAGATTGTTTTATTCTTACTAATGTCCACTGAAGGCAAGAGATGTAGAAATAAAAATTGATTTAGAAAGTGAACAGCTGACTAGTAAGGGTATCTGAAAATGAAATTTGGACTTCTGTACCACAGCTTAGAATACAGGAATGACAGACTCCTGGCCTGGTTTGGAGCATAGTTAACACAGCCTGGTGATGATACATTTTCCTGGTATCTTTCCAAACCAATAAAAAGGGTCTTAAACTAAAAAGAGTAGGGGAAGAAAAACTGCCTATGTATATCTACCAAGCTAGGTACCATACAGTATATACAATTAATAGAAGGAGAAAGTACTTGAGATACTCAAAAACCTCATAGGGAACAGAATCCAAAAAAAGGATAAAAAGCCAGCAATAAAACTCATGGCTTCAAATGTTTATACACAGAAACCCATGGTTTAAGAAACAAGCAGGAAGGACTAGACATACAAAATCAGGTAGGCAAATATGACCTCCTAACTATTATTAACACTTGGTAAGATGAATCTTACGACTGAAATAATGCTCTGCATGGGGATACCTTATACAAAAGAAGCAGGATAGATAAAGGGTTAACAGAGTGGTAGAGGATGATATACTCATGTTAGGAAATTTATGAACATAGGGTGCGGGTGCGGGAATAGAAAATATTTAAGTAAAGACCAACAACAAGAAAAACAAGTGAATTTTGAAAATACAAAGGAAACAATTTTGGTGAAGGGAAAAAACTATGGTATCTGATATGGAACTCATCAATTAACTTTAATGAATTCACTGAGAGCAGCCAGATGCTTTCTTACTACCTTTAAGATCCTAGGTTCTCGACATCACAGATTTAGAGCTAGAAAGGATCTTAAAGGTCATTAAATCCAACATCACCACCCCTCATCCAAGTTCTCTGGCTAAGATGAACTACATTTTCAAGTACCTAAAAGACCTAGCAGACATGACTATTAAGGTGGTAAAAGAAATGGTTGTTAAGGCACTGGCCATCAACATTTGAAGAATCATGGAAAGATTTCATATGTATAAGTATCAAATTTCTTACCATCTCAATGGTGAGGGAGGGAGTAGAAGGAGGGAAAATTTGTAACTGAAAATAAAAATGAAAATTTAAAAATAAAAAATAAATTTTCTAAAGGAAAAATCATGGAAAATGGGAAAGGAACCACAGGATTGGTAGACAAAAAGTTATAAATTTCAAACCAAAAAAAAAAAAGGGGGGGGGGGGAGTTGATAGTCTGCAAACTATAGGACAGTGAGTATGACCTTGATTCTCAGAATACCCTAGAGTGGATGGTTACTTACTGAGCATTTCATATCAATGTCTTGCTTTTCTACTTGTATCCCCAGTGCTTAGCACAGTGCTTTGTACACAGTAAGTACTTAAATGCTTTTTCTTTCTTTCGTTCATTCAGTTAGAGGCAGTGTGGCATTGTGGAACAGGCCTGGAAGCGAGAAGATCTAGGTTCAAATCCTGCTTCTAACACAAACTAGATGTGGCATCCTGAGCAAGTCACCTAATCTCTCAGTGATCTAGGAAGTTCTTTTAGACTCTAAGTTGCAAAGAGGGTAACTTGAATTAGTATAAAGAGTTTCCTTTCCCAGAAGCTCCTTATACCAATGAAATCACAGGCCCAGCCCCTGTTCTTACTCCTAGTGAGTATCTAACAGAGGAAGTGGTGATTACAAAGAGGCAGCATGACTTCATTAAGGACAGGACATATCAGACTAGCTTTATTTTACTTTTTGACAGGGAAATTAAAATGACAGATCAGGACAATGCTACAGATATGGTTTACCTAATTTTAGCAAAGCATCTAATACAATTTTAGTGGAAAAGACAGATAGATTAAAAACTGGTTGGATATTTAAAGACTAGACAACATCAAATTGGCAGAAGTTCAAGGGTCAGATAAAATCTCCAGAGGTATCTGTTGGAACTTGAGCTGATTAAAATTTTTATTAATGATTTGGATAAAGACAGAGTCAGCATGTTCATCAAATCTGCAGATGATACAAGGCAGGGATGGACAGCTAGCACTCTAAATGCTAAAGGTCAGGATCCAAGACAAGCTAGAGCACTGAGCTGAATTTAATTAAAATCAAACTTAATAGAGATAAACATAAAGTTTTACCCTTGGATTCAAAAGACCTATTTTATAAGTATAAGATAGGGAAGCATAAAGTGTCTCAAAAAAAGATTTGTGGTTTTAGTGGATTACAAACTTAGTATGAAGTAGCAGCTAAAAAATATAATTATGATCTTGATTTCATTACAAGCACAATGTCTAAGAATAAGTTGGTGGGAACCCTCCTTTACTTCTCCAGTTCACTTTACAGATGAGGAAATGAGTGGTGTTTAATAAATGGTTATTTGTTGATTCATTGATTGGTGGATTTTCCTTCCTCTCTCATGCCTACAAGCAGAGGCTGAATGAGTATGTATCAAGTATGTTATAGTGGAGATTTCATGTCAGTATGCATTTATAAGGGCAATGAAATCCAAATACTTTTGAACTCTCATGATTAAAATATTGTGATTTACATATTCCTTTACTATGTTCTCTTACTTACGTTTTAAGGGTTCCAGATGTCATAAGTTCAGTCACTAGAACAATACATTTTTTTCCCTTTACGGTAGACTCCCAAGAATCATAGAAACGAACAATATTTGGGTGTTGAAGGCCCTTCAACATTTCAGCCTCCTCTTTAAATCTTTGCCGTTCTGACTTTGTCAGCTTTCTATCCTGAAAAGCAAATAAATAAAATGTGGTTAAAATGAATTGTGATTTCAATTTCTAACATATTAACCATGGTATTAAATCTCAGTAATGAATAACCACTTCAAATAGAAAAGGACAATGTAACTCATTCAGAATATTTTTACGAAAAGGGTTTGTCTCTGTTAGAGGGTATTTTGTCAGTAAATAAATTGAATAAGAGTGTCAATTCATATCAACTCAAATATTTTCTTTTATGATCTTTTAAAGATTTCTGAAACCAAAGCCCTAAGCTTATTTTCACTCCAAATTAAGTGAACATGACCAATACCCCCTCAAATAAAAAAATTCAAAAAAAAGAGCACAGATGCTTCTTTTTCCAAGCACCCAAAATGCTTAGAATTCATCAATTTACTCTTCTTCCCTTTGCAAGCTAAAAGTACCCAAGTAAAATAAACCCATGACTACTTCTAATTTTTTCCAATTCAAACATTTATTGTCTAGTATGTACATCTGTGTTTACATAAAAATGTTACGTGAAATACATATAATGTTTTAAAAAATTAATTCCACCTAGGAAATCCACCACAGAGAAATATTTAAGGATTATTTTAATAAAAGAGAAAGGAAGAATCAGCTAAATGGTAATTTAGATTTTTCTTAAGATCTGTGATCAGATAATTCAATACCAGCAGGCATTTCTTACATTAACTGACAATCAATAAATAAACATTTACACTCTGTTATATCCCAGGCACTTAATCAGCCACACAATATACAAAGACAAAAATAAAACAGTCCCTATGATCAAAGAATTTACACACTATTGGGAAAAAAAAATGTGCACCAAGCAAGGACATAATAAAATATGGAAGAACTGGAAGGTTCAGGGATAGTGTAGTAAAAGGTAATCTGAAAAGGCCTCATGTAGAAGATGGTACTTGAGTTTTTAAAGAAAACTCAATATTCTAAGGGGCCAGAGTACATTACAATGATGGGGAGGTGAGATGGGAGACAGCCTATACAAAAGCATGGAGATGGGGAAATATAATGTCATGTGTAAGGTACAATAAGTAGGTTAGTCACAGTGTGGCCAGCTTGTAAAATGTGTGAAGGGTTATAAAGTGTATTCAAATAGGAAAGATAGGTTGGGGTCAGAATGTGATAGGTTTTAAGTATCCAAGGGAAGAGTCTGAATTTGATTCTAGAAACAACAGAGAGCCACTGGTGCTTTCTGAGCAGGGAAGTAAGTGCCAGACAAGTTCTTTGGAAATGTTACTTCAACAGTTTGTATAGATGACATATGAGAGAGAAGAAAGACTTGAGACAAGGCCAATTTGAGGCTACTGTACCAGTGCAGGTTAGAAGTTATAAGGATGAGTCAGGACAATGGCTGAGTGAATAAAGAAAAATAGATGGATATGAAAGATTGTGTGGAGGTAGAATTGATGAAACTTGGCAAGTGACTGGACACACTAATGAGGAAAATTTAAAGGAGTTGAGTATAAGAATACTGATGTTTTGAATCTAAGTAACTAGGAAAATGGTAGTGTCCGTGGGAGAAATAAGGAAATTCAGAAGAGTAGATTTAGGGGGAAAGATAATGAGTTCTGTTTTGGACAAGTTGAATTTGAGATATCTCTTCAACATCCATTTTGAAATGCCTAAATGTATGACCAGAATTCAAGACACTGATTAGGGCCTGATATAATGATTTGGCAGGCATTTGTATAAAGATGAAAATTAAGCCTGTGAGAACTGATAAGATCACCAAGAAATAATATAGAGAGTAAAGAAAAGAAGAACCAGAAAAGAGCCTTGGGGTACATAAACATGAAAAAGTAGAAGAACATACTTAAGAAAAATGGAAAATAATACCTAACAACAGAAACAATAATGAAAGCGACAACAAAATAACTGCAGTTGAACAAAGATCAATAGCTGACAAAAATAAGATGAAAAAAAAAAAAAAAACCAAACAGCTGAGAATGTAAAAGCTCAAAAAAATCATACATATGCAGAAAAGAATAATCAATTTGAAATAAACAGAAATCTCAGTTACTTTTGAAGACACTGAATAATAAATAATAATAAAGACATTATGCTTGACACCTAGTTAGAGAAAATACTATAAAGTAAAAGAGTCAATATTCCTCCAGTGGAGTGGGGTCAAAAGACTCCAGCATGGAGAAATTCCAAATATTTTAAGAAAAAAAATTAATCTAAAAAAACTCTTAGGCATAAAATTGTTAAATTTAAGAATTGCAAAGAAAAAAATTCTCCACTGTAAAAGAATAAAGAAGTTATGTATGAAAATAAAGGATAGGCTTTTAGCAAAAGTTATAATAAGCCTATTACTACTGATAGTTAAGTTATTAAAAAAAAGGTATAAAGTTAGAAATACTCCCATTAGACTGTGTTTTTGTAATGAACAGAGTATGTGTGTACACACACACACACACAAATAAAAAGGTGTTTAAACACATAAGAAACTATAGTCAGAGGTGGGGGAAGGGGAAGGCCAGTCAGGCAATAAACATTTCTCAAGCATCTACCGTGTCCCAGGCACTGTGCTAAATTTAGCACAGTGCCTGGGGCACGGTAGATGCTCTCCAAGGAACTTCCTTACCTATCTTACTCTTTGGGGTTTATGTCTAACTAGTAATGACATCTCTAGGTCAAAAGGCATGGATACTTAGTCATTTAACTTGCATAACTCTATAATGCTTTTCAGAATGGTTGTACTGATTCAGTGCTCCAACAACAATGCACTAGTATGCTTATCTTCCCCAGAACCCCTTCAACACTGAAAACATCCATCTACTGTCATTGCCAATTTGCAGGGTTTGAGGTGAAAATCAAGGGTTGTATTGATTTACGTATCTCTTATTATTAGTGATTTGGAGCATTCTTTCATATGGTTATTAATAGTTTGCAATTATTCGTTTGAAAACTTTTGTTCATGCCCCTTCCACTATCTATTCTATTGCGGAAAAGATATCTGTTAGTTATCTATATTTCTTGGAAACCAAACCCTAATCTAAGAAATTTGATACAGAGATTCTCCCCCTCAACAACCACTGCCAATCTTGTCCTAGATGCATTAATTTTGTTTATTCAGAAGCTTTTCAGTATGATTTAAATCAGAACATACTGAAGGAGACAGGTAAGTTTATTACATAACAGTGAAAAGAGTAATGAACAATAAATATCGAACAATTCTTCACTTACATGCACCAAACAATTCAACAGTTAAATTCACTCAAGAAAACTTGTGTACAAAAAGTAGACAAAAACAGTAACAGCATGAACTTATATGCCAAGGACATAACCTTCAGGAATCCAGGGTCACCTCTATGCCACAACAAGGCATTAATCAATAAATCAATATTTATTAAGCACCTCCTACGTACCATGCTAAGTTTTAAGGATTTAAAAAAGAGGCAAAAGACAGACCCTGGCCTCAAGGAACTTACAATCTGATAGGGGAGACAAATAGATAAGTGAGTTATATAGAAAATAATTAAAAGAGGAAAGGCAATGGAATTAAGAAGAGTTGAAGCAGGCTTCCTGTAGGTGATGTGATTAGACCTGTGCTTTAAGAAAATCACTTTAGTAGCTGAATGAAGGATGGATGGGGGGAGGTGGGTGGGGGAAGAGTTGAGGCAGGCAAGCCCACCTGCAGGCTATTGCAGTAATCAAGGGGTGAGGTGATGAGGGCCTGTTAAGAGTGGTGACCCACTAGAGCTGTGGCAGTATCTGGAGAGAAGGAAGGGGGCACATTAGTGAGATGTTGCAAAGGTGAAACTGGCAGGCCTTGGCAACAGCTTGAGTGAAGATATCAGGTTGTAAGCCTGGAGAACTGGGAGGATGGTGTTGCCCTCTACAGTAACAGGGAGGGGGGTGGGGGGGCTTAGGGCAAAGATAATGAGTTCCATTTTGGACATATAGTGTTTAAGATGTCTACTGAACATCCAGTTTGAGCTGTCTGAAAGGCATTTGGGAGATGTGAGATTGGAAGTCAGCAGAGAGATTGAAGCAGGATAGGCAGATGTGAGAATCATCAGCATAAGTAAGTCCACGGGAGCTGATGAGATCACCAAGTGAAGTAGTACAAAAGGAGAAGATGATCCAAGCAGGACATGAAACTGTTCATGTCCCTGAGAGAACCCTGAGAGACATATATGGTTAGAAAGTGTTGTCTGGAAGAGGATCCAAAAAAGGAGGAGTCAACTATATAGGAGGAGAACCAGGAGAGTGGTGATCTGAAAACCTTGTGAAAAATGAGTATGAAGAAAGGCAGAGTGATCCACAGTGTCGAAGAGAGAGAAGTGATGGGGAATGAGGACTGGAAAAGACCATACTGAATTTGGTAACAAAAAGATCACTTGTAATTGGAGAGCGCAGTTTTGGTGGAATCCTGAGAAGATGAGACTTAGTGGGGATGAAAGGATCAAGCGAAGGCGTTTTTGTTTGTTTTTAGGATAGGAGAGACCTGGGCATGATTGCAGACAGAAGAAAATGAGCCAGTAGAGAGGAAGAGATCAAAAATAAGTGAAAAGCTAGGAATGACAGAGGAGACAATCTATTGGAGAAGATAGGACTGAATGGGTTCACTTGAACAAGTAGAGGGGTTGGCCTTGATAAGGATTAAGGTCATTTCACCATGTGCGACAGGGGTGAAAGAGGAGAAAGTAGCAGAAGGAACCTGACTGAACCTCATGGAGATGAGAAAGAGGGCAGAATAGAGTGTTCACAGAGAATGGCCTCATTTTTTTCAGTAAAATATGAGGCAAGGCTCTCAGCTGAGAAGTTAGGGGTGGGGAGTCATGAGAGGTTTGAGGAGGGATGAAAAGATTTGGAAGACCTGATGTGGAGAGTGAGATAGTGAGTTGATAAAGGAAGTATAGTAGGATTGCCTAGCAGTAGTGAGGGCCCTGTTGAGGTTATATAACATATATTTGTGATGGACTCAATCAGAATGGTTGTGTGAGTTTCTCTATTTTCATTCAGCAGCATGTGGGTAG